CTGCCTAATTGTTTGATATTCTCACCAACCCTAAATGTCACCTCTTTTAATGTGATCCATTCTTATAGGAATGTAGGGGACCTTCATTTTTATTTTGTCTTTTTCTGAGGAGTACTGATGTTGATCATTTTTTCATGTTTTGATACCCTTTGATATAAAAACCATTAAGTATTAGTCAAATTTTCAGTTATATTTTCTATATATTTGTACATATATATTTCATTCTTATAACATATACTACATGTTTTTTATGAAGCAACTCTTCAGATATTTTGACTAGTAGGTTCTCCCACCTTTTGTTATTGTTTCGTACAAATTCTTTATAGAATCTGAATATGAGTCTTCATTGGAAATATGTATTAAAAATGTGTTTTCCCACTTTGTGTCTTCCCTTTGAAAAGGAAGCCCTTTGGGAAACAAAACATCTTAAATTTTTTAAAATGTTATTGTATTGTGGTTCAAAACATACAATGCAAAATGATTAATCACACAGTTCTACACTCACCTTACAGTTGAGGATAATTTGCTGTTAATGCTGTCTTCTACTGACACAGACCTATAAACATAATAAAACTTATTTTAAAGTGGAGAAAATTTTTAAATCTTAGTTGAGTGACTATTTAAATAAATGTTTTCAAAAAAGAGTGATTCAATAAGTGAAATATCTTCTTGTAACAAAATAAAATAATACAAAAAAACAGATGCTATCTCAATATTAGAACAAATGCCACCAGCCACCTTGCTTTGTTGATTAAATCCTCTTATCCTCATCTTACATATTTTTTAAGAGTTTATGTGAGAAGCCACATTTGTACAGACAGCCCCTCCCTCCAATTCTATGTTATCCCTAACTCTTCAGGTCAAATTAAGCCAAAAAAACATTAAGTAGTAGTCAAAGATTTCAGTTAAATTTTCTATATATTTGTACATATTTCATTCTTCCTCTCATAACACATACTTTATGTATGCTCTTCCTATCAATTTTTGGAATGCAAAACGAGAGGTAAATACTTCTGTAGGAAAATACAGTAAATTATTAACAACGGCCTCAATAATGATGTTCGAATATTAGGGTAACCCACACAGCTAGCAGAGCTGTGCAGTGGAAGTGTTCTAAGTTCATAAATATTTATGTAACTGATTACAGATAATGTGGTGATTTCACTTACTAATTTGGTATATCTAAAGTTTACAATACATTGGAAAACCATTATGATCTCCCACTTATAGAGTTATGGAGATTAATTTTTAAATATGTCTTTATGGATATTTTTACAGAGAAAGGAAGGTAGACGAGTAGAGAGATAAAAACATTGATGAGAGAGAAACATCAATCAGCTCCCTCCTGCACATGCCCCACTGGGGGCCCACAACTGGGGAATGTGCCCTGACCAGGAATCAAACCAGTGACCTCTTGGTTTATGGGTTGATGCTCAACCACTGAGCCACTCTGGCTGGGGATGGAGAATAATTCTAAGAACTTGAAAATATCATAGCCTTTACATTCAGGTTCATAGATATTATCTCTAAGAGGTGCTCTAATAAAGGTGTTTCCCACTGGTGTGAGACTCCTTATCTGAAACATTAATTTTCTGAAAGTGCCACCTATTCTCATCAAGCCTAGTGGTAAAATGAATAAAACCAGAAAACATATAGAGGATACCAAACTGGTTTTATCCCTGGGCCTCTCCACATATTGCTTTACTTATAGTCTTAGATTATAACTGATGAAATCTGAATACTTATTTTTTGGCTTATTTAATGAATTACATGTATACTAGTGACCTGGTGCATGAAATTCGTGTCCATTAAAAGGGAATTAATTAGAGAAAATATTTTAATATTGCTATTTGCCCTTTCTCTATAATAGAAATGTCAGAGATGAAAGAAAATTAGTAAAATGTATATGAAAATCTTCCTCTTGTCAGAGTCTAGGGCATGCCACAGGAACCAGAGTCAAGTCCCCACCCACCCACATGCACCACAAAATTGCGCAAGACCCAGACCTGGCCAGCCCCACCCCCACTGAGCTAGAACCAGACCCACCAGTCCCAACCCCATCAAGCCCCACTGGGTGGGGGGGTGTGGCCTCAGGTAGCCTGGCCTGGTGCTGGGGTGGGGGGGCACAGCCTTGGGTCCCCCAGCCCAGGCCTGGAGCGGGGGGCTTGGCCTGAGTTCCCTTGGCCTAGGCCAGGGCAGGGGGCATGCCTTGAGGTCCCCGTCAAGCCCAGCCAGGTAAGAGGTGTGGCCTGAGGTCCTCCAGCCCGGGTCGGGGCAGGGGGAATGCCTTAAGGTCCCCCCATCAAGCCCTGTGGGCGGGGGGCACAGTCTGAGGTCCCCCATCAAGCTCCACAGGTGGGCAGTGAGGCCTAAGTTCCCCCGTCAAGTCCCACATGGCAGGGGCCGTGGCCTCAGGTCCCTGGCCTGGGACTGGAGCAGGGGTCATGGCCTCAGGTACTCCAGCCCAGCGCCAGAGTGGGGAGTGTGGCCTTAGGTCCCCCAGCCCGGCACCGGGGCAGGGGGTACAGCCTGAGGTCCCCCATCAAGCCCCACTGGGCACGGGGCATGGCCTCAGGTCCCCTGGCCCAGTGCCGGGGCAGGGGGCACGGCCTGAGGTCCCCCGGCCCAGTGCTGGGACGGTGGGCATGGCCTGAGGTCCCCCGTCAAGCCCTGCCAGGCGGGGGACACAGCCTGAGGTCCTCTGTCAAGCCCTGCCGGGTGGGGGGTGCACCCTGAGGTCTCCCAGCCTGGCGCTGGGGTGGGGGGGGCGCAGCCTGAGGTCCCCTGTCAAGCCCCACCAGGCAGGGGGTGCAGGCTCAGGTCCCCTGCCCCAGCCCAGCACCACACAGCTTCAGGTCCCTGCTGATTACTCATTAAGGCTCATTACAGGAACTCAGCAACTGCTGTGGGCTCAGCCATCTTATGTTACGGAATCCCTGCCTCCGCTATGGGTGCAGCCATCTTGTGATGGTGTGATGGTCAATTTGCATATTCCTCCTTTATTAGATAGGAGATATATATATATATTTTAGAGGCCTGGTGCATGAAATTTGTACACTCAGGAAGGGAGTCACTTCGTACACTCAGCCCGGCCTACACCCTCTCCAATCTGGAACCCTTTGGGGGATGTCCGATTGCCAGTTTAGGCCCAATCCCCGTACATCACTCTTGGAATCAGGGACCACTGGCTCCTAACCGCTTGCCTGCCTGCCTGATCACCCTTAACCCCTCTGCCTGCCTGCCTGATCACCCCTAACTTCCCCCCTGCCTGCCTGATCGCCCCTAACCACCTCTGCCTGCCTGCCAGATCACCCCTAACTGTTCCCCTGCCGGCCTGATTGACCCAGTTGTCTCTGGCTCAGCCCCCACACCCAGGACCCAGGTTTCCCTCCTCCAGCTGGCCACAGGCACCCGGGACCCAGGCTTCCCTCCCTCTGGCTGGCCGCAGGCACCTGGGACTCAGGTCGACTTTGCCCAGGCCAGCCACAGGTGCCCAGGACCAGGGGTGGCTTCACCTGGTCTGGCCGCAGCCACAGGCTCCCGGCACCAGGGGCTGCTTCGCCCAGGCCCAGCTTTGTCAGGAAGGACGTCCAGAAGGTCGTCCGAAAGACATCCAGTCTAATTAGTATATTACCCTTTTATTAGTATAGAGATATATATATACCTTTCACTTCGGGTTTCACCTCTGTAGCATAGATCTCTTATTTTATCCTGCTTTATTAAAACAGCAGCAATAATGACAAACATAGGTAAAGAAATGTAGAAAATGAGTTGAATTCTGCGTTTTGAAGAAGCAGATCTTTGGGCCAATGAACTTTTACCTAGAAAAGAAAATGGCCATTTTAAATTATGTCAGAGATTTTTTATTACCCAAATGAAAAGATGGAGTGGCTATCATTACCAGCACTATTCCCAAACACTAAACATTTCATTCATATATATTAGGAATATTATAAAATCAAAACCAACTAATGTACAAAGTGAATTGTTACTAGTGCTTTACTGATGATTTTGCATTTTCCATCTTCTACCATATTTTGACTGAAGGTAATGTTTTTTCCTGAAGCATATGTTTAATACTTGCAAACATTCTTCAATTCTTTTCTGATACAGCTCTCCAAAATTCAAACATGCATATCACAGAGATAATTGGAATCATACCTAAATGTGTGAAAGAAACCTAGGCATTTAATTTCTCTTATATTACTATTAGGGGCCTGGTGCATGAAGATTCATGCACTGGGGGTGGGTCCCTCAGCCCAACCTGCACCCTCTCCAATCTGGGAGCCCTCAGGGGAGCCCTCTCCAATCCAGGAGTTTCTGTCTGTCTTTGCAATCATATGAGTGAATTGTCTGAGACCCCCCAATCCAGTTTTGTTTGTAGCTCACAGAATAATAGAGGCATTTTTTTTTCTTTGCTTCATTGGTGGAGATTTCCTGGAAGTTTTAGGATATCTTCCCTTTAATTTTCCTAGACACTAAGTCGCTGGGAGTGACCGAGGGAGCTACGTCCCCCCAAGCCTCCGGCTCTCCCAGTCTGCTCTCTGCCCAGTGCCTGTGTATGCAAATTAACCCACCATCTTTGTCAGGTTAATTTGCATACTCCCTCCTGATTGGTTGGTGAGCGTAGCAGAGGGATGGTCAGTTTACATGTTTCTCTTTTATTATATAGAACAATTTTTTTCTAAAAATTAAAAATTAATAGTCACTAAATAACTTATTTAACTAAGTTGTTTAATCAAATATGCAGCAATAAAAAATTAAAACGGCTCTAGGATTATTTTATACAATGCATGGCTAAGCCTGGCATTAACCCACTTTTGACTAACTAATGCTAATATCTACATTTTTCTCATCAGTTCTTATTCATTCTCAACTGAGAATGTGGCTCCTCAGGTTCCATCTCTTTGTATATATTAGCCTCCTTTCTGTATTTATACTGTGTCAAGTTCACTTTCTCCATGGTTTGTTAGTCTGCCTACTTTTAATGTACACAGAATAGTATTCTCGTTTCTTTTCCAGTTGGAAAACAGGAGAAGACAGGCAGAGGAGCCACTCTCTAGCTACATTTATCTATGATTATTGAATCTCAACAAACTCCTATTATAACTGCCCCGAAGCTTCTGACTTTCTCATAATATTTTTCAAGTGAGTTCAAGGTAGGAAGTTCAACACTTTCTGTTTGTCTGCTTTGTGTATGTGATTGAGGTTCCCAGTATTATTAGGAAAAGGCTTACATTATATTTGCAACCAGAAAGCCACTAAATCAGATGGAAAGATCAACCTCTCTATGTGCTGCAGATTGATTCTCAGCTACTTGTATAATCTTTGGGTGATCAATGACACTACATGAGTTATTTGAAAAGACTAATATATTCCCAGGTGGCCTCAAAAGCATGAGTAGAATTTCCAAGAACCAGAAAAATTGCTCTTACTTCTTTCCCTTATACTACTGTCTAGTTTTAACAAACTCTACTACTAACAGCCAAGAAAGCATATTTTCTATTAGCTCTCCTTTTAGTTTGGTGTTATTTATTTAATTAATTACCCCGAGTCTCCATTTTTCACTGGTAAAAAATAGTCCCCAATAATCTGCCTCAAATCTTCTTCTACTTAATTCCAAAGATACTTTGGGGGACACTCCTGGGCGGCCAGCCCAGGCACAGCGACCACGCCATCTTGGGAAACAGAGCTGCTTGAGACTAGGATCCTGGCCTCAGCACCACCCAGTCTGATCTCAGACGCATACCAGGACCCTGCAGCCACTGGGGACAGAGACCTGCGACCACAGCTACAGACCTGCAGACACCAAAAGTTCAGAGATCCCCACGGCAGATCTGTGAGTAACAGAGCCCATCTTGCTCTTACTTCTTTCCCTTATACTACTGTCTAGTTTTAACAAACTCTACTACTAACAGCCAAGAAAGCATATTTTCTATTAGCTCTCCTTTTAGTTTGGTGTTATTTATTTAATTAATTACCCCGAGTCTCCATTTTTCACTGGTAAAAAATAGTCCCCAATAATCTGCCTCAAATCTTCTTCTACTTAATTCCAAAGATACTTTGGGGAATCACTCCAGCACTTAACTATTCACATATTTATGAGAAAATAATATATGTGTATACTTATATGTTAATTATCATGCTTTTATTTTGGTCTCATATATAATCTGGTATAGCTTTGTGTTAGCTCTCTAAAAAGTGGGTCACCATAGGTATGACTACTCCCTAATATCTAAGCTGCAGATTAGCCTGCCCAGGAGATTCATTATGTATTTGCCCCCAAAGAAAACAGAGTAAGGGGGACATCCCTCTTCTACAATCAGGTTGTTTTTGGTGGGCTCCCATACATTCTGGACCAGGGAGTATCCCCCAGTTGTACTCAGCCTCATCCAGTCCTTCTTGATCTTAAAACAATGTTCAGAAAACCTAGGGTAGGGGAGTAGAGATTCTGAAGGGGAAATTTCCAATTTTAAATTGGAACCCTTGTAATTCAGAAGAAAGAAATAAAAGACATCCTGAAAGATTCTAATGGCATTAATATAACAATGAGTATTAACACTATTTTAAACTAGGAATATATAAGATAATCAAAAAAAGGGGGAGGTTTTAAAAAGGGGGGAATGGGGAGGAAAATGGGAGATATCTGTAACACTATTAACAGTAAAAAAAATGTATTTTAAAAATAGATTGGGACTTTGTAGTTCCAAGATGGTGGTTGGGAGGATGGCAGTGAGGGTGTGAGTGAGTGAGGGAGGGAGCGGAAGGGGAGTATGTGGACATGTGTGTCTGAGGGAGGAACAGCTAGACCTTGCAGGACTTTCAGGGGATGGTAGACTGGGCTCACATGGCCAGGCAGCCTCTTCTGCTGTAACCTCTCCTGGAGCACCGGCTCTGCCATAGCGGCTGCACCATCTTGAAGGTGAGACCTAGCAGCCACTACCCATAACCACGTGTGCCAGGGGAGCCAGCAGCCACTGCTGGCAACTATGCACATGCGGGGAGGCAGCAGCCGCTGTCTGCTACCTCACAGGGAGTCAGCAGCCACTGCCCGCAACCACACACACACATAGAGAGTCAGAAGACGCCACCTGCAACCGTGTGGGGAGCCAACAGCCACCACCTGCAATCACACATGTGAGGGAAGCCAGCAGCCACTGCATGAGACTGCACGCATGCGTGGGGAGCCAACAGACTCCACCCGCGAACATATCAAGGGAGCCAGCAGCAAAAAATACTGCCCGAAGAAAAAATGGCGACCAGCAGGAAGGTAGGGAGGGAGAGAGTGTGAGAGTGCAAGGAAGTGATAGAGGAGTGTGTGGACGTGTGTGGTGTGTGTGTATGAGCTAGGGACAGCTAGATTCTGCAGGTCTTCTAAGGGGCTGCTAAACCGGGCAGTCTTAGGCGGCGGAGTCCAGCTCCCGGCGCGGACACTCCTAGGCGGCCAGCCCAGGCACAGCGACCACGCCATCTTGGGAAACAGAGCTGCTTGAGACTAGGATCCTGGCCTCAGCACCACCCAGTCTGATCTCAGACGCATACCAGGACCCTGCAGCCACTGGGGACAGAGACCTGCGACCACAGCTACAGACCTGCGGACACCAAAAGTTCGGAGATCCCCGCGGCAGATCCGTGAGTAACAGAGCCCACCCCCCCTTCCCGCAGGCTCGCGGGCAGCGCCATAGTAACTGATAGACCCGCCCCTTGCCGGGGCCTCAGCGCTGCAGGAACTTTGGCCTGGAAGTGC